GATATCTCTTTCTCCCTCATTCCTCATCCTCTATCCATCGTTAACCTCTGCCAATGATATTGTCTTAAGACATTAAATCTATTTCTTTCCCTCTCTATTCCTCCTGCCCCTGTCTAAGCCATTGTCACAGTCTACATAGACTATGTCATTAGCCTCCTATGTTGTCTCATTCTGGTTCTCAAAAGCATGTCTTCTCATGCAACCAGAGTTATATTTCCAAAATGCATATCAGATATTTGCATAAAATAATTCAGTGATTTTCCATTGCTCTGATGAAAAATTTGAAATTGATCAGACTATTCTGAATTTGACCAAAAATTATTTGCAGAGTGTGCCTTCTTCCTAATTATCCAATATTTTCTTGTGTAGATGAATGCTTTGGGGGGAATTTAAAGAAATTTCAAGATTCTGGTCTCAGTCATCACTGTATATAGCATGTAAAAATGCAAGAAAATGTTCCTATGAATTAATTATAAGGAAATTTTGGGCAGAGATGCCACTGCTGAAAATTAGGTTCGGTGGTGGATATTTCTCCTTTTTAAGCTAAACATTACGTGGTAAACATATTTCTGTGTCATTAGAAGATTTTCCAGATGTAGGAGAAGAGAGTAGGATAGACCTTGGAGGAGGTATGGTCCAGGGGATTCCCCATACGAAAGACTAAATAATAATGGTCTGTAGACCTTGTTAAAACAAACCCCAGGGTTCTTTTGTTGCTGCTGCTGCTGCAGGGATTCATGGTAAACATTTCACCCACTGGTCCTGGGGAAGTGTCTCCCTTGCATGCCTCAACAAAGTGAACAAAAATAAGCTGACCTTCACTGGGCACATGTGCTATGCCAAAAACTATGATGTTTAGAGATGACCTGAAGTACACAAGAAAAGTCAAGCAAATCTAATCTCGGTCATTCTGCAGAAGAGGAAAAGAGGTCCGTATTCAGGCATTCTTCTGAACAGAAAAATTCATGGAGAACTCAAGGAGCTAGGGAGAATTTCCAGGAATGGGTGCCTGCCTGCTTCAGAAACAGATGGAAGGAGAAGCGAAGGGTGAGGAACAAAGGACAGATTGCTCAGAGTCAGATACTGATGGTCTTCAGCCCATTTGCTGATGACTCAGTAACTCGGTGGGTATGGCCCTTTTTATTTTCACACATTAATTGGCTTCTCCCATCTTGTTCTAGACAGATTTTGAGGCAGACTATAAGCCATGTAAAATATAATGAGATAACATTTATTGAAAGCAGGTGACAAATTTCCAAAAAAGGGCCAGGGATCATAAGGTAGGAAGAAAGAAAAGTAGAGAAAAATGATGCCTATGAGATAGTTGTTTATTCTAAAGCACCAGATTCAGCTAATGTGCCTCCTGCAGACAGTGATGATTCCAGCCCTCGTAAGGATAGGGTAGTAGGGTTTAGCCAGCAGATAAGGTTTTTATACTTTAGGAGGCTGCCAAGTAGACAGATTCCCATTCTGTTTTATCCACAAGTATCTCCCACTACCTCTTTCAAAATATTCGCCATACTTATGGTTATCTGAATAGTGTCTAATTTCTCTGTTTAAGCTCCGTTAAAAACTTGATCTGGAATGTATAGTAATGTATTCTCTCCTGTAACACAGAGACTAGCATTTAGTAATTAAGCTCAAGAGCATTGGATCAAGGCAAGAGAATCATAAGGAAACATGGAAGAGTTACAATGGATTCTCTCAAACCAGACAAAGTTTCTTTCTCAAAAAAATGGTCCCTTATGGATGCATAATATGCAGTCTTATGGACGGTGCCATGATTGTTGTTCAGTCACTCAGTCCTGTCTGACTCTTTGTGACCCCATGGACTGCAGCATGCCAGGCTTCCCTGTCCTTCACTATCTCCTGGAATTTGCTCAAACTCATGTCCATTGAGTGGGTGATGCCATCCAGCCATTTCATGCTCTGTCATCCCCTTCTCCTCCTGCCCCCAATCTTTCCCAGCATCAGGGTCATTTCCAGTGAGTTAGCTGTTCGCTTCAGGTGGCCAAAATACTGGAGCTTCAGCTTCAGCTTCAGCATCAGTTCTTCCAATGAACATTCAGGACTTATTTCCTTTAGAATGGACTGGTTTGATTTCCTTGCAGTCTAAGGGACTCTGAAGAGTCTTCTCCAACATCACAGTTCAAAAACATCAATTCTTCAGTGCTCAGCTTTCTTTATAGTCCAACTCTCTCATCCATACATGACTACTGGAAAAACCATAGCTTTAACTAGATGGACCTTTGTCAGCAAAGTAATGTCTCTGCTTTTTAATATGCTGTCTAAATTTGTCATAGCTTTTTTTCCAAGGAGCAAGTGTCTTTTAGTTTCATGGCTGTAGTTACCATCTGCAGTAATTCTGGAGCCCAAGAAAATAAAGTCTGTCACTGCTTCCATTGTTTCCCCATCTGTTTGCCATGAATTGATGGGACCAGATGCCATAATCTTTGTTTTTTGAATGTTGAGTTTTAGGTCAGTCTTTTCACTCTCCTCCTTCACTTTCATCAAGAGTAGTTTTAGTTCCTTTTTGCTTTCTCCCATAAGGGTGGTGTCATCTGCATATCTGATTGGGCTTCCCTCATGGTTCAGATGGTAAAGAGTGTGCCTGCAATGCGGGAGAGGCAGATTCTATTCCTGGTTTAGGATGATCCCTTGGAGAAGGAAATGGCAATCCACTCCAGTGTTTTAGCCTGGAAAATCTCATGGACAGAGGAACCTGACAGGCTACAGTCCATAGGTCGCAAAGAGTCAGGCATGACTGAGCGACTTCACTTTCACTTTCTTTTTCATCTGCATATCTGATGTTAGTGATATTTCTCCCAGCAATCTTGATTTCCACTTGTGGTTTGTTCATCCAGCCCGGCATTCCACATGATGTACTCTGCATATAGATTAAATAAGCAAGGCAACAGTATACAGTCTTGACACACTCCTTTCCCTATTTGGAAGCAGTCTGTTGTTCCATGTCCAGTTCTAACTGTTGCTTCTTGACCTACACACAGATTTCTCAAGAGGCAGGTAAGGTGGTCTGGTATTCCCATCTCTTGAAGAATTTTCCAGTTTGTTGTGATCCACACAGTCAAAGATTTTAGCACCATCAACAAAGTAGATGCTTTTCTGGAGCTCTCTGGCTTTCTCTGTGAGCCAACAGATGTTAGCGATTTGATGTGTCATGGTGTATATAAATAATCTGCTATTGTTGGATGTCTTGTCTATTTCCCGTAGCACTCTGCTGAGTTCTTCATCACATGTCTTTACTACTGTCACAGCCAGATTGGATTTCTGGAGTGAAATCATCATATTGAAGGATGTGAACTATTAGAAATGAAGTATTATCTTCTCTTCATGGAGTAACGGCCTTAAATACTAGCTGGATGTTTGTATCCCTCTCTCTGTTATTTAGTCCCCACATTCAGGGATCAATTTAAACCTGTGACTTCCCAGAAACTACTGCACATTTTAAAAGGCACTACGCACAGACCCTCCCCATTTCTGTGCCCACCATGGGCTATCATGTGCCCACCATGCATGGTTTGTAGGCAGAATGACACCCCTCCACCAGGATGTCCATGTCCTAATCCCCCATATTTGTAAATACATGACGTTGCTTGATAAGCAGGAGTTAAGGTTATAGACGGAATTGTTTGCTAATCAGCTGACTTTAAAATCAAGAGGTTATCCTGGATCATTCTGGTGAGCCTGATTATGACAAAGTTCCTTCAGATGTGGAAGGAGGAGACAGAAGAGTTAGTGTTAGCATGGAAGGAAGGAAGAGAGACTCAGGCGGCCACCACCGGGTTTGAAGACAGACGAGGGCCCAGAGCCAAGGAATGCGGGCAGGCTCTAAGAGCTGGAAAGAGCAAGAAGGTGGATTCTCCGTTAGAGTCTCTAGAAAGGACCAGCCCAGCCAACACCGTGATCTAAGCCTGGTGAGATCCACGCTGGAATCCTAACTTTGAGAACTGTGAGATAATAAACCTGTGTTGGTTTAAGCCATCACGTTTGTGGTGATTTATTACAGCAGGCGTAGGAAGCCAGCGCAACACTCTTCAGCTTCCAAGGACCAAGCTCTGCTATCCACACTTACGCTCTCTTTGTCTAGGAAAATAACTCTTTCCCCTTCCAGCAGCAAGTGCTTAGCCAGCTGTCTATGCTGCTGTGCCTTCTGCTTTGTGGTTTACCCCTTGAGACACAAAATAAAAAGAAATTCAGAGGACGGGGACTGTCAGCTCTAAGCTCAGAGCTCCAGTTTGGAATTTAAGCTCCTCGATGTCTGACCAGCAGATCAAGTGGTTCTGACAAATGCCATCCCTTGGCCGCACCCCCACTACTTTTGGCTCTTGTCCTGGCGCTCTGCCTCCTTTCATAGATGCCAGTCAGCATATATTCTCCAAAGGAGGAAACGGTCTGTTAGCACAACTTGTTAACCTATTTCAGAAGCCCTTCTCCTTCACAGATTCTAAACTGAAAAAATCTTTACATGTTTTTAGGTGCAGGCAGAAGACTTGGATATAGCAGATGACCTTAAACAAGGTCTTGGCCAATGTCTATTGCATCCTCTCTGTCAACATATCCCAGGAGGAGACCAGGCTGTGTGAGTCTCTCTGGGAAATAGATTACTGTTTTATGGGACTCCTGTTGCAAGTCCCAGGGAACATCAGTCATGGGAAGCCACTTCAGTGTAGGACTTTAACAAATGTACAAAGTCCTGGCCTAAAAGCAATGCTCATGGTTCAGGTGTTCAATCAACAGTGCCAATATCAGGTCCAGATTCAAGCAATGCTTGATGGGCACCCACGGTGTAACAGACCCTGTGCTAGGAACATGCACCTTATCTCATCAATTTTCACAACAGCCCTCATTTTACAAAGGAGAAAACTGTGGTTCATGAGGGCTAACTGCATGTCCTCCAGCCCACACAGGCTGGTAGCAGAGCTAGTATTTGAACCTTCAGCCTTTCGATGTGGATCCAATGCTCTTTGGACTCTGCACAGTCCCAGCCTCCCAGCACTTCGACTGGGAGGTGGCGGAGCGCAGCAGGAAACCCGCGCCCCTGCAGCGCTGCCCCGTGGCCAGCGCCAGGCACCCTGCTCGTGACCAGCGGAGTGAGAGGGGGCTGGTTCAAGCCCCGGAGAAGGGAGCCATCAGCAGCAGCCTCGGAGCAGAAGGTGTGAAAGGAGAAGAATGTGGGACTTGCAAAAGGGAGCCTGCCGCTCCGAGAGCAACCCCACAGGGAGAATCACATGAGCGTTTCAAATTATGGAAACCTTATCTAAATAAAGGAGACCAGAATCACAGCATTCTAGAACCAGAGGCCTCTGGAACTAGGCCTCACCTGGTTCTATTTCTCACTTCAAAGATGAGGAAACTAGAGTAAGAAATATGAAGGTTCTGGCCTAACTGTTACCTGAAGCAATCATGCAGGTTGAACTATACCTTCTCGTGAGTTAGAACAATATTTTTATTTATGCACGATGTTCTCTCTCCTAGAGAATGGTCATTTAAAATAATAACACTTTATAATATGGCTATATAATTTTCACATATTTTTATGGGAAAAAAATGCCATTTCTTCACAGTAACAGATCCTGTTAAAATGACTAAAAAATGTAACAGAGCTCTGGTGCATTTTGCAGCCTTTTAGTTTAAGACCCAGAGGAGAAGAGGAAAAAGCAAACAGATATGATTTGTCTGCATGAGTGGATCTTTTGATTGTGACTTTTCTTCAAATAGAACAATTAGGGTAAAATAATGAGTCATATACTTAAAGAGAGATTTTTATCTTTCACTGAAACATAAATCATTCCTGTTAATAATGATAAAATATCAACTGAGGAAAGCATGAAAATGCTTTTGTTTCCAAAGCAACAGAAGGACCAGTAACTGTATCCCCAGCGCTTATACTTGCTACATGTAAGTGAACCATGAGAAAGAAAAGTCAGAACACAAACGGAACCGTCAATCCTGGAACAGCACCTAAAACAACTCAGTGCAGCCGTCCATCTTCTTAAGCTGACTATGAAAATCCCTCATCCTAGATTCCTTCATTGATCCTGATGAAGGACTCTGATGGTTTCTGATAAGAGGCAATAAAAAAACCTCTGAGGAATGAAGAGAACATCACATGGTACACAATATATACCATTGAACATGAATTAAATCTGAGAAAACTGACTGAGTGTTCCTATGAGTTTGATTTATATGTGTATTAGAAGACTTCATCCTCTTTAGATACACTGTATCAATTCAGTTCAGTCGCTCAGTCGTGTCCAACTCTTTGCGACCCCATGGACTGAGGCACGCCAGGCCTCCCTGTCCATCACCAACTCCTGGAGTTTACTCAGACTCATGTCCTTTGAGTCAGTGATGCCATCCAACCATCTCATCCTCTGTTGTCCCCTTCTCCTCCTGCCCTCAATCTTTCCCAGCATCAGGGTCTTTTCCAACGAGTTAGCTCTTCGTGTCAGGTGGCCAAAGTATTAGAGCTTCAGCTTCAGCATCAGTCCTTCCAAAGAATATTCAGGACTGATCTCCTCTGGATGGACTGGTTTGATCTCCTTGCTTTCCAGGGGACTCTTAAGAGTCCTCTCCAATACCACAGTTCAAAAGTGGTGCTCACCATTATACAGAGCGAAGTAAGCCAGAAAGATAAAGACCATTACAGTATACTAACACATATATATGGAATTTAGAAAGATGGTAACGATAACCCTATATGCAAAACAGAAAAAGAGACTCCGATGTATAGAACAGACTTGTGGACTCTGGGAGAAGGCGAGGGTGGGATGTTTCAAGAGAACAGCATCAAAACACGTATATTATCTAGGGTGAAACAGATCACCAGCCCAGGTTGGGTGCATGAGACAAGTGCTCGGGCCTGGTGCACTGGGAAGACCCAGAGGGATCGGGTGGAGAGGGAGGTGGGAGGGGGGACCGGGATGGGGAATACATGTAAATCCATGGCTAATTCATTTCAATGTATGACAAAAACCACTGCAATGATGTAAAGTAATTAGCCTCCAACTAATAAAAATAAATGAAAAAAAAAAAAAAAGTGGTGCTCAGCTTTCTTTATAGTCTAAATCTCACACCCATACGTGACTACTGTAAAAACCATAGCCTTGACTAGATGGACTTTTGTCAGCAATGTAATATCTCTGCTTTTTAATATGCTGTCTAGATTGATCATAGCTTTTCTTCCAAGGAGCAAGCATCTTTTAATTTCATGCCTGCAGTTGCCATCTGCAGTGATTTTGGAGCCCAAGAAAATAAAGTCTCTTCCTGTTCCATTGTCTCCCCATGTATTTGCCATGAACTGATGGGACCAGACGCCATGATCTTAGTTTTTTGAATGTTGAATTTTAAACCAGCTTTTTCACTCTCTTCTTTCACTTTCATTAAGGGACTCTTGAGTTCCTCTTCACTTTCTGCCATAAGGGTGGTATCATCTCCATATCTGAGGTTATTGATATTTCTCTTGGCAATCTTGATTCTAGCCTATGCTTTATCCAGCCTGGCATTTCACATCATGTACTCTGCATGTAAGTTAAATAAGCAGGGTGACAATATACAGCCTTGATGTACTCCTTTCCCAATTTAAAACCAGTCTGTCTTTCCATGCCTGGTTCTAACTTTTGCTTCTTGACCTGCATACAGATTTTTTAAGAGGAAGGTCAGGTGGCCTGCTATTCCCATCTCTTGAAGAATTTTCCACAGTTTGTTGTGATCTACATAGTCAAAGGCTTTAGCGTAGTCAATGAAGCAGAAGTAAATGTATTTCTGGAATTCTTTTGCCTTTCCATTGATCCAGGGGTTGTTGGCAATTTGAGCTCTGATTCATCTGCCTTTTCTAAATCCAGCTTGAATATCTGGAAGTTCTTGGTTCACATACTATTGATGCCTAGCTTAGAGAATTTGGGGCATTACTTTGCTAGTGTGTGAGATGAGTGCAATCGTGTGGTAGTTTGAGCATTTGTTGGCATTGCGTTTCTTTGGGATTGGAATGAAAACTGACTTTTTCCAGTCCTGTGACCATTGCTGAGTTTTCCAAATTTGCTGGCATATTGAAAGCAGCACTTTCACAGCATCATCTTTCAGGATTTGAAATAGCTCAACTGGAATTCCATCACATCCACTAGCTTTGTAGTGATGCTTCCTAAGGCCCACCTGACTTCCCATTCCAGGATGTCTGGCTCTAAGTGAGTGATCACAACCATCGTGGTTATCTGGGTCATGAAGATCTTTTTTGTACAGTTCTTCTCTGTATTCTTGCCACCTCTCCTTAATATCCTATGCTCCTGTTAGTTCCATACCATTTCTGTCCTTTATTGTGCCCATCTTTGCATGAAGTGTTCTCTTGGTATCTCTAATTGTCTTGAAGAGCTCTCTAGTCTTTCCCATTCTATTGTTTTCCTCTTTCTCTTTGCACTGATCACTGAGGAAAGCTTTCTCATCTCTTCTTGCTATTCTTTGGAACTCTGCATTCAGATGGATATATCTTTCCTTTTCTCCTTTGCCTTTCACTTCTCTTCTTTTCTCAGCTATTTGTAAGGTCTCCTCAGACAACCATTTTGCATTCTTTTTCCTGGGAATGGTTTTGATCATGGCCGCCTGTACAATGTTATGAACCTCTGTCCATAGTTCTTCAGGCACTCTGTCTATCAGATCTAATCCCTTGGATCTATTTGTCACTTCTACTGTATAATCGTAAGGGATTTGATTTAGGTCATACCTAAATCTGAGCTATCAAGGATGGAAATCAGTCCTGGATATTCATTGGAAGGACTGATGCTAAAGCTGAAAGTCCAATACTTTGGCCACCTGATGTGAAGAGCTGACTCATTTGAAAAGACCCTGATGCTGGGAAAGATTTCAGGAGGAGAAGGGAAGGACAGATGATGAGATGGTTGGATGGCATCACCAACTCAATAAACATGAGTCTGAGCAAGCTCCGGGAGTTGGTGATGGACAGGGAGGCCTGGCATGCTGCAGCTCATGGGGTCACAAAGAGTCAGACACGACTGAGCGACTGAACTGAACTGAATGGTCCAGTGGTTTTCCCCTTTCTTTAACTGAAGTCTGAATTTTACAGTAAGGAGTTCATGATCTGAGCTACAGTCAGCTCCCGGGCTGTTTTTGCTGACTATATAGAGCATCTCTATCTTCAGCTGCAAAGAATATAATCAATCTGATTTCAGTATTAACCATCTGGTGAAGTCCATGTGTAGAGTCGTCTCTTACGTTGTTGGAAGAGGGTGTTTGCTATGACCAGTGGTAAAACTCTTTTGACTTTTGGTAAAACTCTGTTAGCCTTTGCCCTGCTTCATTTTGTAATCCAAGGCCAAACTCGCCTGTTATTCCAGCTATCTCTTGAATTCTTACTTTTGCATTCCAGCCCGCTGTGTTGAAACATTCATCTTTTTTTGGTGTTAGTTCTAGGAGGTCGTGTTAGTCATTATAGAACCAGTCCACTTCAGCATCTTTGGAATTAGTGGTTGGGGAATAGACTCTGTTCTTAATGATTGAATGATAGCACAGTTATATCCCCACCACAATGTTTACTATAGTTGGTGGACTGTACGTGGGTGTGTATACACTTGAATGAATATATATATGTCTACATATTTGTACATGGTTGCAAACCTGGTAAGGACTCATCTAAGTTGAAAGATCAACTAGAAAGCATGCTAGGTGTTTGCAAAATGAGTCCTGAGGATTTGGGGGCTCTGTGATCTAACCCCTAGAAGGGGAATCAGGAGTGATACTGAGAGCTGAAATTTGATTCCCAGTCAGTTTGTAAGCTAGTAATTTGTTCTCTGCTATTTACAGAAACTGTGTAATTTTTTTTTCACAGTTCCTTCAACATCCTGGTGAGGCTGCTGTTGTTTTCCATCTCATAATGGAAACAAACTAAAAATGGAATGCCGAAGGGGTGCAATTATGTTAAAGAAAAGGGAGGTGGGAAATGATGGCTGAAGATCTCCATGCTGGAGAGTCTTAGCAGTGCCAGGTTGAGTTCTAATTCTGGGTGAAACGGAGACCCACTTGGCAAGGACCTGTCTTAGCTGTGCCGGCACAGGAGAGCAAAACCTGGAATTCAAGCATGGGCAAGCTCTTCTTTGGGCCGCTCAGTTTACTTCTTTGATTCTTTTTTTTTGGCTGGCTCTGT